GAACATCACTAGCGTCTAAACCATCCATAGGATTTTTTTTCAAAATTGATATTAGCCGGTCGATCTCACTCGAGTCAAGACGATTTTGAAATACTCTCTTAAAAATTGGAGGGTTCTTTATTTCAAGCCCCCGGACACATTCAAAATTTTCTCAAAAACGGCTCCAATTTTTTTCTTTAAATTTCTTGAAATAAATGAGTAAAATACATTTATGAAGGTGGCATAGGTTCGATTTTCCAGGTTAACCCTGAATTTTTGAAAATTTCAAAATGTTTAAATTTTTTAGGCGTGTATTTACAATCACAAAATTGAAATTTTTCCTTTAAATAAAATTTGTTCGCCATAGTGAGTTCTTTCATTAAGGCCACGTACATTGTTTTGAAAATTGCAATATTTTACGCGCAATATTGCGAGCAATATGTGCAATTAAAAAAAATTCTCAAAAAAGCATCAAATTCTTTCTTCAAACTTTTTGAGCATACAATGCTGATTGCACTCTTTAATGTGACATAAAGTTAATTTTCGGATATTTTTTGTTTTTTAAAAAAGGTACACAATTATAATTTTTTTGAAAGACCTCTCACGCCGTTAATTTTTACATTTCCACTAATTTGTAAACACTATTGTATTTGCAAGTTAAAACGCTTTAAACTACTTCTAATGAAGTTTTCGAAAATTAAAAAAAATTCTAAGAAGCTCCAAATTTTGAATTTACTGTAGCGTTTAAGCTATTTTCTCAAAGACGGCTCCACGTGTTCAAAGAAATTTGCCATTTATGAGGAGGTTTTACTGTTCGAGGTTAGTATCAGGAAAACGAAAAATTAAGAATTTTTTTAATGTACTTTGGGCGGTGATAGATGGCAGCTGGCAAGAGTATGTTGCAAGTTCGTGTAGCTAGCCGAGACCAAAGGAAATAGAAAAGTAATACGGGAAAGTCTGTGCCATTCCGTAGCACCACTGGTTTAATGTTGACCACCCAGGGAACGAAACCTAGCAAGTCCCTATTTGAGGCCAACCTACAGCTGCCAGGGGAACGGGTGATTCCGTATCAAACCCCAGGGACCCCGACAGTGTGCTGATAATGCGTATTCATTCCATCTGTAACATTTGCAATCAACTCTGAGATATGAGTTACTAAGGGTCGCACTGGGTGACTTCCCGTTGGCAGACGCCCCGAGATTTATCGCCACCCCTCTCCTCTTCCCCCGTCGCAACGGGCAACCCGGGGAGGTGATAACTTTCAGGACGTGTTCATGACGAGCCGTTCGGAGTTCGGGTAAACAACTACTCCAGGAGATGTCGGTAAGGTTACTGCGCAGTAGTGACTTATCAAGCTAAATAATACTCATAATACATTGCTTGGTGAGGGACAGTCCACGGGGTCACGTGGTCGGTGGCGGTGACAGGCATTTGTTTTCGACTAGCGACTTCAGTATTTAAGTCCGACCTACCTTATCGCATTCTTGTCTTATCATCCACTGGTTTAGGAGGAACGACGGCACCTTGTCACTCTACGCCAAGCCGACCTGGAGGTGATCTGTAACATCAACAACAGAAAACGTTTTTTTTTTCTTTTTCTTTTTCAAAGCGTAACAGTCACACTGCTCAAGAACAAAGAGTAAAATACTATAGTATAGTAACACTACAATAAATTACATATTTTAACAAAAACAATCTTAGCAAGCAATGAGAGTTCTTACGAATATCCTGCTCAACAATTCATTACAACCACGAATATTTAAAATGGTTCTGTTTCATAATGCCGCATGTGAGCAGTAAATATTTAATGGCGGCCGGACGCTACTCGGAGCCTTGTTGTCGCATGGCGCCAGATGTGTTACAAGCACGGAGTATGAGAATTGAGACGTTACGCGCAGTAAGACGATGGCTGAATAACGCAATAAAATATTTGCATTTTGCAGTCAAAATCAAAACCGTTATTATTATTATTATTATTATTATTATTATTATTATTATTATTATTATTATTATTATTATTATTTCGAGATCCTCGGTTCTTTAGAAACCATAGATATCTTTCACATGGCAAGAGTTTTCGTAATTTTCTTTCAATTTCAACGAGCATTTAAAATTAATATAGATGATATTTCCTAGGTATGTACGGAAACCATAGACACCTTCCAAAAGGCCGGAGGCTGGACTGATTTCTTTCATTTTTTGCGCGAAAAGAAAATTAGTAAAATAAATCTTTTTTAAATAATGTTTCTTGCAGTCTTCTCTATATAAAATATGTTTACATGTCATGACTCAATTGATACACCCTGTGTTTAGGGAAAAGTTGCCGAATTTGGACCGGTGCCTACAAGCGTGCTTAATGCTTCTCGGTGCTCTAAAGCGTTTTTAGTCAATTATCAGTGAATTGCTGTCATTCTGTGCGGCGGAAGTAAGAAATTGCAACTTTTATGCTAGACTTTACAAGTATACTTCGTTAGCCTCCTAACACACGTAGGAAGAGCAATGCAATGAAGACTTGATGCTGTTGTCCTGTGTGTTTTGGTTCCGAAATTTATACGAATTTTTTATATATTTATTATATATATATATATATATATATATATATATATATATATATATATATATACGAAATTTTGACCACAGAAGACTGTACTGATTGAATCGGTCCATCTTAGGAGGCTGATACGCATTGTGTTATTTTTTTCTTTCACGTCAACAGAATTCACGCTACATTTCAAAACAATAACAGAAAAGCTTAAGTATTAGAAATCTTTATTTAATTTTTATAAACATATTACTTCCTTCTCTTAAATGTATTATATTAAACTTTGTTATTTTCTGCGCTGAAAAAACTATTTTTACATCCACTAGCTTGTCAGCATTTCTCACACTTGTATGTGAATAATCTAACAGAGGAATTGATAGGCCGCCACCAGCAAAAAGTTCAATGATACAATGTAAAATTACAGCACAGATATTTCAATATTAAATATATTTCACATAGAAAAGTGACTTACTGTTAATCTCCCACACAATTTACGATGTTTTCCCGAAATCGAAACAAGATTCAAACGTTTATTTCCTTTGTTCTAGTTTTTAATCCTACAGAAATGTGTATGATTATTTGATTGTTCAAAAGGAAGATTATTTTACCAACACTAAACGCTAAGAACAAAATTAAGGAGCAAATAATCAAAACATGACCTGCCAACTTCTCACTTTTTCAATACAAAGGAAAATATTGCACAAATTTTACACTTTTCTACGGCGTCTTTAACTCAGCCAATAGATTACTACCTAAGGTATAGTAGGGTATCTAACATTTTTTCCTGGAAAGAAAATTCTAGGTAAAAACAACAGAAGAGTTCAATTTGTGCCAAAAGGACATGTCACTTTTTGAAAGTTTTTTCAATTGGCTTTTTCTCAATAAGTATTAGTAGTAGCAATACTATGTAACATTGCAATAGAGAGAAGAGGAATTTAGTGATGAAATTGAAGCAGAATGTTTTAAGACTCAGAGAACTCATTCCATTCAAATTATTTTTTCTAAAATATTATGTAAAACGAAATGTAAAGGGATGTTTTTATTACATGCAATACTCTCATATTTTCAGTTGTCTCAATTTTTCCTTTATTAAAAAGGTTCGCATCTTAAAAACAGAGAGCGAGAGAGCGAGAGCAAGAGCGAGAGCGAGAGTCAAACAGAATGACAGGGACGGAGACATTAATGTAACGTAAATGCTTATGTTTATTATATTTGAGGTAGCAAATCTCTTACTCCACTTCTGTTTAATGTTCAAAGTTTTAACATACAATTCAACTCTTTCCACAATTACATACACTCCACTCCACTCATACAACCATTAAACTTTCACATTTTAGTTATAATATTATTTCAATAACATATCATCTCATTCCACTTTACCGACATCACATCAAGATAAGTAATATGTCACGAGCATGCCACTGCATGTATTGGTTACATCATATATGGAAATAAGAATATACTTACACATTGATAGAGCAAATCTTCCTGTTATCCACAGTGGCGTTCAAGTCACCGTTACTAGTTCATGTCAATCATTCCATTCAGGTTTCAGCCACGAGTTCCGGTCAACGTCAAGTGTTCATGTCATCATGAGATCGTCCTCATCGTGTCGCATTCAAAATCGGGGTCGTAGTCACAAAACCGGGTTGTTTCTTAAAAACTCCAATCCTCGTGTCGTCGGGTTTAAACTCCAATCGTCGGATCCAAACTCCAGTCGTCGTGTGCAAACTCCAGAAGTTGTGCCCAAACTCCAATTGTCGTATTCAAACTGAAATAGTGGTGTTAAAAAAGTAGGGTTTCATCTCAAAAGTCTTGTCGTTGTCTCGAAAGTCGGGTCGTCGTCTCGAAAGTCGGGTCATCGTCTCGAAAGTCGGGTCATCGTCTCAAAAGTCTGGTCGTCGTCTCGAAAGTCGGGTCGTCGTCTCGAAATTCGGGTCGTCGTCTCGAAAGTTGGGTCGTCGTCTCGAAAGTCGGGTTGTCGTCTCGAAAGTCGGGTTGTCGTCTCGAAAGTCGGGTTGTCGTCTCGAAAGTCAGGTCGTCGTCTCGAAAGTCGGGTTGTCGTCTCGAAAGTCAGGTCGTCGTCTCGAAAGTCAGGTCGTCGTCTCGAAAGTCGGGTCGTCTTGAAATTCGGGTCATCGTCTCGATTTCGGGTCGTCTCGAAAGTCGGGTCGTCGTCTCGAAAGTCGGGTCGTCGTCTTGAAAGCCGGGTCATCGTCTCGATTTCGGGTCGTCTTCTCGAAAGTCGGTTCGTTGTCTCAAAAGTCAGGTCGTCGTCTCAAAAGTTGGGTCGTAGTCTCAAAAGTCAGGTCGTCGTCTCAAAAGTTGGGTCGTAGTCTCAAAAGTCAGGTCGTTGTTTCAAAAGTCAGGTCGTCGTCCCAAAAGCCAGGTCGTTGTCTCAAAAGTCAGGTCGTCTATACATTGGGGTCATTGTCTCATATCCGGGGTATTTGACATTGGTGGCCTTAGTTAAGAGGAATCAACATTCGTCCGCATCCCGCTCTTCCCCTTCTGCGGCCGGAGATGTCTGCGGCGCGTCCTGGTTTCGGGAGCTGCCGGATGGGCGGACCTCGGCGGGCAGGTGGGAGGTGTTCCTCGGTGCGGCTGGTTCAGCGGATCTAGGGACCGCGGCTGCGGGAGCGCCTGCAGTTGCCAGCGTGTCAGACTCCAATCCCACCACCGCCAGCACTTCCTCCGATCCGGATTGGCTGGAGTCGCGGCGCGGGTCGGCGGCCAGGCTGGGCGCAGAGCGCACGCGCAGCAGGCGGCGGCCTGCGCCTGAGGCTCCCGGCCGCGCAGACGGTCGGCGCAGCGCCGGCACAGACGAGCACCTGTGCCCGACCCCGGGGCAGCGACGGCGCGGGCGAGCCCCGCGCGAACGGAGGCTAAAGGAGGCCAGCAGCTCCTCGAACGATGAGTCCAAGTCAAATGAAAGCTCGTCCGACGACGTCCTGCACAAAACAAAAACCGCTCACAATCTCTACAGGTGTCTCAAAATAAATGTTACGGACTTAAACGGTATTTTAGGGGGGTACAAGATTATCACTTTTTTCCCAATGAACAACCGAACAATCTGGTACTACTAGTTACTCATATGAACTTGTAACAATTGCCTCTGGAAAGCAACTCATCCTGCAACGAAACCATCGCAGCAGAACTTGTAACTGCCCAAAACCAGTGCATAAGGATATGCATACCAATCAAGGGCCAAAGATAATTTGCACACATTCGTTGATACGAGATATCCCACAAATGTCAACAACCTGTATTGGTTAATGAATTCAAATAAAAATGCAGTTTCATTATAATGCTCACAACAAATATTCACGGTTTATAACGCACGTCAAAATTAGTTTCCATAATATAGTAAAGGAAATAATCGTCCACAAAAGGTTTAATATTTTTTATTTATTATTACCCCGAGTTAACTTTCGGCAAACACTTTTCCCATCTTCAGTGGGTCTCTAGCAAGGAGGAGAAAATTGGAACATTAACATAAGTTGAACAAATGAAATACAGTAAATTTAGTGAAAAAAAAAACAAATAATATCAAATAAATAAAATTGAAAACACTTACTGCCCAAGCAACGTGAATCTCTCATAAATGTTCGCAACATGGTCAAAAATATATAAATAAATGAATGAATGAAAACTGCAAAACGTGCTGGATACAGTTACGTGGCATCCATCTTTTGGAATGAAAGAAGAGGAATCCTACCAATTGTGGGAGAGGGGGGATAACAGAAGAGTGGAGAGGATAGTCATAAACAGATTTAAAATTGACTGCTTCTCATACAGGAATGTAAAACAGGTTAGAAAATTAGGAATTTTCGAGATTCTAGAATTTGAAATTAGTATAGTGTAGTAAAGAAAATAATCTCTGAAATCTTTGAAATTATAAAAAGATCATATTTTAAACAAGTTTACTAGTTAAAGAGATTGTAAAAGGGGGAAAAATCAGGTCTAAAGAATGATTAGGGGCTAGTAAATAAATTATTTAAAATGGGAATGCTTTTAATTAAGGACTGTTCATTCAACATAGAAAAATTTGTATTTTTGAAATGTTTTAGAATTTCCAAGTTTTCCAAAATGTTAATTTTCGTGCATTTGTTGACTAAGTGAAGGATTTTGAAAGTATAATTAGGGTCAAAGGAATGGTTAAATTGAATCAAATGATTGGCGACGGTGCCTGTTTGGCCTACATGTGCTGAATTACAGTTATTACAAGTTAGGTGATCAATTGCACTTCTTTAATGGGGAGATAGGTGATTTGGAACTAGGGAATAAATATTGGAGGGAGTTAGGGAAGGTTTTGTAGGCTACTGAAACATTGTATTTAGTGAAACATTAGCCCATAGGTTTAGATACTGGACCTATGTAGGGGATGCAAATACATTTCTGTTGTTGTTTCCTTTTCCATATTATGGATTACCACAAGATATCTGCTACCACCACGGAATTTATTAGTTACCATGTTGATCAGGAGGCAGTATTAACAGCCCACTATAAGAAATCCACATATGATTACGTTCAATATATTGTCAGATTGAAAAACAAAATCTTTGCCCAGTGTAAGTACCAAGAATAGTCTTTACTGCTACATAACTGTTTCTATAAAATTATGGACGATTGTGACAATTTTTGTTAGATAGGCAATTGCCTTTAGCAATTTTGATTATTTTTAAAATGATACAAATGAATTAGTAAGCATTTTAATTGTATCATATTTAAATAATACATATCCCTCTAACAAGTATTGTACTTCAATGTCAGTGTTAATGACCATTCAGTTTTTCTTGATACTTTGAGCTTTTCCTGAGAAAGTCCCTTGTTTTGCATCTGGAGATAACGTAGCTTCAGAGTCTGCCCACATTTTCATCAACTCTATGGGGTGTTGGTGGAAAATTCAGTTATTGCAACCCTCATCGTTCCCAACTACAGTTATCAGTGTTTTTGCAGTGGTGTGTCATTCTCATTAATAAATAAAACAATAATCAAAGAAAAAATTAAGTAAATAAATACCTTCCAGCACGTAAATTAGTGGAGCCAGGGACCCTCTTCAGAGCTCTCCTTGCGCTGACTTCTGATGCTCTGAAAGGAAAGCATAATAATTTTTGTGTGTTCAGTTCTTTCCCATTACTTCGAAGGCAATCAAGTAACTATACTAACTATACAAGTACTAAATTTACTAACGTAAACTTCCTGTCATCACGAAATGTAAACAATAATGTAATATGATGTGAACTTACAACAAGAGTATGCCCGAAGGAGAAAATAAAAAAAGAACACGCAAAAGAGAGAGCAAGCAAAACAGGGCACGTGAAAAAGGGCGAGACAAACAGAGAACGCGAAACAGTGAAAGCAAATAAAACAGAACACTCGAGAAGAGAGAGATCAAGCCAAAAAGAGCACGCAAAAAAGAGAGTAAGCCAAACACATCAGTCGAAACTTAGAGAGAGAGAGCCAACCAGAGACGAGGAAATAACAAGGTAAGCCACACAGCACGCGAAAAAAAGAGAGCGAGACAAACTGGAGCGCAGATGTCTGACATGCAGTGTTCAATACGGTTCGTTCACGTGAGAGAAAAAAACTTGTGGAGCAAACAGGTGGCAAGAAATGGAAGCTTGCATGGAGAACATTACGATATTTTACAATCCAGATTATTTTTAAGGTGCATTCGTATAAAATCCGTTGTAATTATGCGTTCGACAGAACCAAGAATGTTTTATGTAAACCGAGGGCTAAAGGCTCGAGCCTTGTCCTCAACATGAAATTGCATCGTGAAGACTCACATTCCCCGGGAAAGTGCATCAGCTGCGCACTATGTGGCTCTTTACAATGCGCTGGACAGACGTAAGGAAGTTTGACGTGAATACGAGGGCTGAAGGGCCTTGCGTTGTGCTCAAATTGGAAGCGTAGCGAAACGTTACTTTGCACCGGAAAGTGCTGTGGCTTGCAAGCAGGGGCCGAGCTGCAAAGGCTCGTTCTCAGAATCGACTGCGGGTGTGAACGGATCGTATAACAAACTCCCAAGCACAGAGCCAAAACGATACGTTTTAGAGCCACGAGAGCAGAGCAAGCGGGAGAGTGTATTTTTTAATGTTTATTTATTTACGTCTAAACCAGTTAAAAACCATTTGTGACGTGCTATGGGGAGAAGTTAACTTGAAGTTACATTTATGTACTTACGAAGACTCAGAAGTGGCGAAGGACGCCTCGGACGACCACACTGCACTCGCTACATCCGTAGCTGAAGGGCCTTCTTCCGGATTTTCCCTCCTGCACAAACAACGCAGGTTACGCAACAAAAATAGCCCAGTCCAATTTTACACGAAAATCGGCGATCGAGTTAAATAAACCTTCGGTATCTCACATGATTTTTCGTCCGGTACCGAATAGCCCATCGTGCTAAACATCTGACAATGTGTGGGATTTTTTAGACCGTAGGGTTCCTATGCTTTTGTATACATCTCCATACTTGTCAATACTACCGGAAATCAAGCTCAAAATTATACGGGAAATATTTTTTTTTTAATTTTAAAATATATGTTTTTGTATGTAAGGTAAGTCTTTAATATTTTTTTGCCTGAATGTTTAAAATTTTATTCTCAGTCTTATAAAAATTAAATTTCATAAATTGAAAGCAATGCATAAATTAAATGTTTATTTTAAGTGATTTCAATTAAAATTTGGTTTCAAATTATTCCTCGAAGCCAACCTTGCTAAAAACGCGTGATAAAATTAGGTAAAATATTTATCCGGAGTCAATAGTAACTGTTCACTACAAGAAATCTACATGTAATACATGTACGTCACTTCCCAACTCATTGTCAGGTGACAAAATCGCTGCACAGTTCAAGAACCAAGAAAAATATTTACTTCTACATAACTATTTCTAAACAATTGGGGAACATTGTGACCATCCTGTCGCCTTGTCCGATAGGCAACAACCTTAGTTAACTACGATTGTTTTAAGAATGATATAAATGCATTCGTATTGTATAAGTTTTCAAGAGTAAATATCGCTGTAACAAGTATTGTATTTAAGGTTCTGTGTTATTGACCGTTCAGTTTCCCTTTATACTTTGAACAACTCCTGAGATTGTCCTGTGTTTTGCATGTGGATGAAATGTTGCTTCTCTGATGGCACACATGTTTTCTGTGGAATATTGGTGAGAAATTCAGTTTCGTCAACGGTACCCTCAACATTTACAACTATCGTTGTTCGTGTTTTCGCAGTGGTGTGTCGTTTTCCTAATGTGAGAACACGATGAGAGATAAAAGACAAAATCTAGGAGCGTATATCCTTGAAAAATATTATCAAATAAAAGAAAAATAAATACACACATACCTGTCAGCCAGAAGATTTATGGATCCTAGAACCCGCTTGAGATCCATTTTGAGATCTGTTAACACCTGAAATGAAAGCAAAGTGTTTATCTTTTCGGTCTCTTAGCGTTACTTTGAAGACGTACATGTGTGTTAGCGTAAACTTACTGGCATCTCTAGATTTAGACAATAATTAAAAAATATATGCAATACAGTCAATTCTGAAGTGGCTCTCATTTGTCATTTGAAAACTCTCTCTGAGCAACCACTTTTTGATCGTTTGTCTAGAAATGTAGTCCCCTTTCCGTTTCAGGCCGTGCACGTTTGAGGTTATAAGCAGGGATCGTATTTTTATGCACTACGAGTGGAGCCGGTGGCTCGTGTTGGTCAGAGGGCTCGCTTTCCACTACGTGGCCCCGTGTTCGATTCTCGGCCGAGCCAAGACTATAATATGCTGTTTCCTTGCAATGTCTCAGTATATGGTACTGTGTGACAATGAGAAAATTCACTTTGCAGATTGAGAAAACCGGAATACAGCTTGGATATATCTACGTGCTAACCACACGCACCTACTTATCCCATGGCTGCAAGGCAGGGACATCGCGCCAAGTACATACATACGAGTACTAGTGGACCCGGTAATGCTTCTCTATTGCTATGTATCTCACTTCACACGCAACTGGTCACGTGAATGTTATTAACATTTTACGCTTCGTTCTGCAAAACTTTCTAAAAGATGACTTTCTTACGATAATGGGTTGGGACATGGTTGTCAAGTACCATTTGTTAAAACGTTCTCCCTTAAGTTTGAGTATGCATTCAATAAAACACTGTTTTGGAGGAAATTGATTTATTTGTCTGAGGTAACAAAGAACTACAGCCGATATTTCACATTCGCAGGGGCAGATTATGCAACGAAGACGCGCATAATACTTGAGGGTGCGGCGGGTTGCGTAGAGCTTCTGTTCAGGGGGCACTTGAGTCATAAACTCATAAATTAGAACAATCACGCACACATTTTGCGTCTATGTGCAACAGACATACGCACATTCCTATCGTTCTATGCTCATAACCTTCGTGCAAGTGTTTTATCGCTATCGAATGTACGGTAGGCAGATCATAGAATAGAATAAACAAACAATTTTTATATATTAGATAAAAATATTCAAATATGCAGTACAAACGTAATAAATGTGCATAAATATGAAGAAAAAACGTAAAATCTGCAAAACTATGCGTTTAAAATGAATGAAATCATAGAAGCTCGCTAATACGAACCCCGCAAATCCGACGTTTCGGGTAATCAGAATTTTCGGGTAATCCGAAGTTTTGGGTAATCCGAAGTTTTGGATAATCCGAAGTTTCAGATTATCGGGATGGAGGAAAAATAAACAAAAAAAATGAAATGTTTATTTGCAATGTAAAAGAGGATTGCTGTATGTTATTGGTGAAAAGAAATTAGGAAGATGCAGTAAAAAATGATGACAAAAGAATAGTGGTATGAGAGGCTTTAAATTCTAGAGATCTCTCAGAAAACAACCGGCCAAAGTGGCTCAGAGCATTCACTGAGGTCACTGCAGTTACTCTGACAGGGAGGCCCTAGGGTTCGAGTTCCGAAGGTGGCAGGATTTTCGACACTGACTTGTCAGCTGGGTCGAATTCAGCCACTGTCTGGAGGATAATTCTAGCGGTTGCTTTGATAGGTAGTTTTCCGTGGTTTCTCCGATCAACACCAGACGAATGCCAAAGCGGTACCGTAACAAACGAGCCAAGGACCGCGCGCGATCTTTCCTTCTTCTTCTTCTTCGTTGTCCTCTTCTCTTCCTTACTTACACGCGCCTACTCTTGCAAGCTCTACACTACCACACATGCCGGGAGATCAGGAGCTTACAGCTTGTCTCGGGTGGGGCGGTGGCCTGCTGGTGGAAGATACCTGGGTAGGGAAAATCCCCGTAAGACGACAGTTGGCACTGAATCTCGTTATTCAGCGGGGGAAGATATCCTTAGGAGTTGTCGCGCCCAGAATCACTAATCAATGAACCGAGAAAACGCCCATTTCGTATACCTGAAACTTCATGAATTGACCTGGTTTTGAACCCGTATACGTAACGTTTAAATGAGTGAGCAATGCATCACAGTTCGCGAGATGTCGAAAAGGGAGAGTAGAAGTAAAGTGATTTGCAGCGTGATAAAAATTTGTAATCCTTGCGTGTTGTAAGACACTCCGCCGTTTTCCTTATTAGCAACTGCAGCCTACTGCTCTACTGTTGGCAGCTGACGCCGCATTCCTTCGGTCATTTGACACCCCTGTGAAACGCTGACGTCGCCGAGACACAATTTGCTCTAGTAGTGGCTTCGAAAACTCACGCGTACTCATGCGTGCTGAAGCGTCATTACTATGTTTGTAGGAATGACCGTCACTTTCTAACCCAACTCTCGTAGGAGTTTTGACCACAGAAACATTCTGTAATTCTCTCCCCTGTCTTTAGAAGAAAAGTTACGTAATCTGACCCGTATTAGTATCCATAAAATATTCTAATGCCTAATAGACGTCGGTGTTTGAAAATATAATTAGGACTTTCTTGCTTTTTGTACTTCCTTAGTTCTTGGTCGCTTGCATTGTGGCAATTGCTCTGTCCTCTATCACGCAATATCTGCTACTTGGGAACAAGCTCGAAAATAATCAATTGGTAACAGAGAAATTGCCACAACTCCTCGGAACTTCCTTAAGGCATAATTCTAGAAATTGATAATTGCTTACTTCAACAATGAAATACTAACTCAAAATATGTCAGTGAGAAATAGTAAGAAGAAATGTAATTTTTGGGCTCTTTCTTGTCGTGTAATGGCGTACCTGTGATTTGCAAATATGTCGAGAAAGAGCAGTTGGGTTGACGAGACTGTTTCCTACAGGTACTTGATAATTCAAACGCTTACGTTTGAAAAAATATGCTTCTTTGAATTGTGGCACTGTTGCAGACAATGAGCGGAGCACTGAAGTACCTTTTTATATTCATATTAAGTAACTACACAATTACTTACGTTCTTGGAAGAGGTGTCTCGTTTCTCTCTCTCGTCGCCGGTCGCCCACTCTTTCCTGCACACTGGTAATAATCGACCTCACCTTCAGTCCGAGAACTCGACATCGGAAGCCTCAGCGGAGTGACATAAAGGGACTACTTTCAATGATGACCAACCCACAATAACATGATAATTGTGTACGAGTTGAAACAAAAGATGCAATATTTTTTATGCTTCATATATCTGTTTTAATTACTTGTAACAGTGTGATAATTTTGGCATCTGTCTGCGTTCAATATTCGATAACATTGTGACGCAAATTGGTGGATGAAAGTCATTGGCTGAATCCGGATAGGCTGCGCAATAGCCTACCCATGTCTTTTCATCATGAGTTTAAGATTCGTTCCATGATTTCAATAAACGATACGATACAAAATATATTTTTATCACCAATCTGAAAAAAAATGTAATCCAAATTCTACAAAATTTGTATTCTTCGAAAAGGTGGCAAAACGAAACTAAACGCAAAAATTGATACTGCCCATTCCGTTTGAAAAAAATCCTTCGCACAATTTGTTCCTTACGAGGGCGTATTTAGCATTCATCCAATTTAAATTAATTTAATTTAAATTTAGCATTCATGCAACTAATTTTAATTAGTTTTCATAAAAAAACTTGGGAAGATTTAGTTTTCAAAATTTCTAAATTTGAACTTCATTTCTGATTTATTACGCTTCGAGGGTGGCAATACTGGCTTACGCGTTGACAAGACGGACGGCCATTTTAAATCGAGAGTTGAGTCACCGCAACGCGTGATACTTGAACACTCAAGCACAAATTATTTTTTCTCTCGTGAAGACTGTTTCAAGGTACTGGTGGGTGTAGTTTCGATTGAAAATTACGGCGATTTCAGTTTAATTAACATTTTTGTATTTTATTGTAACTAAATAGAATGGGTTCATCGAACATTCTTTTGGGCCTTGCAGAATATTCGGTTGAATACGACACTTCTAACAAATGGCCGCTTGCTGTGTATTATGCAAGCTTTCGAAAATTGAATACCAACTAAGCTGTCAATTCTGTGGAGATACTGAGACATAATTTATTTATTGAAATCAGTTTAGTAGAGATTCTGGAATAATTCACGATTTCTGTTTCAGACGAAAATGACATATCCGGCATTCATGGAGCGCGTGCCGCCCTTCTGTGGAATCGCTGTTGAGAATGAGCAGTTTAGACATATAAATCTTTTGGATTACAAAGGAAAATTTATTTTTCTTTTCTTTTTTCCTTCAGAAATGTAAGTAGTAGGGTACGTTGGTTACATTTTGAGTTGAAATATTATTTAACTCTCTCAATCAATCCCTCGCCCCCCCTCTATGTCCCCTCATTGTAGGATTATGAAGGAGAATATGTCATAATCACACATTCGTGTTTTATCACCTTTCATTAATCATTCTTTTATCTTACAATTAAGCCTACGTGTGAGTTAGCTAGTGAAAGTCAAAGCAAATAGAATGTTAACATACTATTTTTCCTAAATTATAAAATTAACAGGATTCCAGAAACAAACAAATTATGACAAAATGTAAAGAATAATGTGTCATGCACTCTTTCATTCTTACACGGTATACAACGTTCACCCCCTTTGAAGAAGAAAAAATTCACTGAATGTTCCAAACACACTTTTTGATGTAATACTGATTGGTTTAAAACTTAGGGCAATATGTACCTTGAACCTTTATTGAATTTTTATTTTTTTACTTTCATGTTTTTAAATTTTAAATATTATGAATGATGTTGAGTAGAACTTCAGATTTTAATGTACTATACGTATTTTTGAGCGATTGAGCAATACATCTTTATGTATTTTTTAATAAGGAAAATAAATACCGAGGTGCAATATCTGCGTTGTAGGCCTACGTTGGTCTAAGATATGTTGTGCCACAAAGACCAAAATTGATAACAATATACTATACAAATAAGAATTAAATGTACTTGAATTTTGGTACCTCGGATCACAAAATAAATTATGTAAAATAAAAATG